TCACCCCGCCCCATTTTCCCTCTTTCCATCACCCCGCCCCATTCTCCCGCTTTCCATCACCCCGCCCCATTCTCCCTCTTCCCATCACCCCGCCCTATTCTCCGCCTTTCATCACCCTGCCCCATTCTCCCGCTTTCCATCACCCCGCCCAATTCTCCCGCTTCCCATCACCCCGCCCCATTCTCCTGCCTTCCATCACCCCGCTCCATTCTCCCTCTTTCCATCACCCCGCCCCATTCTCCCGCTTTCCATCATCCCGCCCCATTCTCCCGCTTTCCATCACCCTGCCCCATTCTCCCTCTATCCATCACCCCACCCAATCTTCCCGCTTTCCATCACCCCGTCCCATTCTCCCGCTTTCCATCACCCCGCCCCATTCTTTTGCGTTCCATCACCCCACCCCATCCTCCCCTCTTTCCATCACCCCGCCCCATTCTCCCGATTTCTATCATCCCGCCCCATTCTCCCTTTTTTCCATCACCCCGCCCCATTCTCCCGCTTTCCATCACCCCGCCCAATTCTCCCGCTTCCCATCACCCCGCCCCATTCTCCTGCCTTCCATCACCCCGCCCCATTCTCCCTCTTTCCATCACCCCGCCCCATTCTCCCGCTTTCCATCATCCCGCCCATTCTCCCGCTTTCCATCACCCCGCCCCATTCTCCCGCTTTCCATCACCCCACCCCATTCTCCCGCTTCCATCACCCCGCCCCATTCTCCCGGGTTCCATCACCCCGGCCCATTTTCCCGCTTTCCATCACCCCCGCCCCATTCTCCCGCTTTCCATCACCCCGCCCCATTCTCCCGCTTTCCATCACCCCGTCCCGTTCTCCCGCTTTCCATCACCCCGCCCCATTCTCCCGCTTTCCATCATCCCGCCCGCTCCATTCTCCCGCTTTCCATCACCCCGCCCAATTCTCCCTCTTTCCATCACCCCTCCCCATTTTTCCTCTTTCCATCACCCTGCCCCATTCTCCCTCTTTCCATCACCCCGCCCCATTCTCCCGCCTTTCATCACCCCGCCCTATTCTCCCGCTTTACATCACCCCGCCCAATTCTCCCGCTTTCCATCACCCCGCCCCATTCTCCCGCTTTCCATCACCCCGCCCCATTCTCCCTCTTTCCATCACCCCGGCCCATTCATCCTCTTTCCATCACTCCGCCCCATTCTCCCACTTTCCATCACCCCGCGCCATTTTCCCTCTTTCCATCACCCCGCCCCATTCTCCCGCTTTCCATCACCCTGCCCCATTCTCTCGCTTTCCATCATCCCGCTCCATTGTCCCACTTTCCATCACCCCGCCCAATTCTCCCTCTTTCCATCACCACTCCCTATTCTCCCTTTTTCCATCACCCCGCCCCATTCTCCCCACTTTCCATCACCCCGCCCCATTCTCCCACTTTCCATCACCCCGCCCCATTCTCCCTCTTTCCATCACCCCGCCCCATTCTCCCGCTTTCCATCACCTCGACCAATTCTCCCGCTTTCCATCACCCCGCCCCATTCTCCCTCTTTCCATCACCATGCCCCATTCTCCCTCTATCCATCACCACACCCAATTCTCCCGCTTTCCATCACCCCGTCCCATTCTCCCGCTTTCCATCACCCTCCCCTCTTTCCATCACCCCGCCCCATTCTCCCGCTTTCCATCACCCCGCCCCATTCTCCCGCTTTCCATCACCCCACCCCATTCTCCCGCTTTCCATCACCCCGCCCCATTCTCCTGGTTTCCATCACCCCGGCCCATTTTCCCGCTTTCCATCACCCCGTCCCATTCTCCCGCTTTCCATCACCCCGCCCCATTCTCCCTCTTTCCATCACCCCGGCCCATTCTCCCTCTTTCCATCACCCCACCTCATTCTCCCACTTTCCATCACCCCGCGCCATTTTCCCTCTTTCCATCACCCCGCCCCATTCTTCCGCTTTCCATCACCCTGCCCCATTTTCTTGCTTTCCATCATCCCGCTCCATTGTCCCGCTTTCCATCACCCCGCCCAATTCTCCCTCTTTCCATCACCACTCCCTATTCTCCCTTTTTCCATCACCCCGCCCCATTCTCCCACTTTCCATCACCCCGCCCCATTCTCCCTCTTTCCATCACCCCGCCCCATTCTCCCGCTTTCCATCACCTCGACCAATTCTCCCGCTTTCCATCACCCCTCCCCATTCTCCCTCTTTCCATCACCCTGCCCCATTCTCCCTCTATCCATCACCCCACCCAATTCTCCCGCTTTCCATCACCCCGTCCCATTCTCCCGCTTTCCATCACCCCGCCCCATTCTTTTGCGTTCCATCACCCCACCCCATCCTCACCTCTTTCCATCACCCCGCCCCATTCTCCCGGTTTCTATCACCCCGCCCCATTCTCCCTCTTTCCATCACCCCGCCCCATTCTCCCGCTTTCCATCACCCCGCCCCGTTCTCCCTCTTTCCATCACCCCGTCCCATTCTCCCTCTTTCCATCACCCCGCCCCATTCTCCCGCTTTCCATCACCCTGCCCCATTCTCCCTCTTTTCATAACCCCGCCCCATAATCCGCTTTCCATCACCCCGCCCCATTCTCCCTCTTTCCATCACCCCGCCCCGTTCTCCCGCTTTCCATCACCCCGCCCCATTCTCCCGCTTTCCATCACCCCGCCCCATTCTCCTGCTTTCCATCACCCCGCCCCATTCTCCCTCTTCCCATCACCCCGCCCTATTCTCTCGCTTTCCATCACCCCGCCCCATTCTCCCGCTTTTCTTCACCCCGCCCCATTCTCTTGCTTTCCATCACCCCGTCCCATTCTCCCTCTTTCCATCACCCCGCCCCATTCTTCCTCTTTCATCTCCCCGCCCCATTCTCCCTCTTTCCATCACCCCGCCCCATTCTCCCGCTTTCCATCACCCCGCCCCATTCTCCCACTTTCCATCACCCCGCCCCATTCTCCATCTCTACATCACCCCGCCCCACTCTCCCGCCTTCCATCACCCCGCCCCATTCTCCATCTTTCCATCACCCTGCCCAATTCTCCCGCCTTCCATCACCCACCCCATTCTCCCATCTTCCATCACCCCGCCCCATTCTCCCTCTTTCCATCACCCCGCCCCATTCTCCCGCTTTCCATCACCCCGTCCCATTCTCCCTCTTTCCATCACCCCGCCCAATTCTCCCTCTTTCCATCACCCCGCCCCATTCTCCAGCTTTCCGTCACCCCGTCCCATTCTCCCTCTTTCCATCACCCTGCCCCATTCTCCCTCTTTCCATCACCCCGCCCCATTCTCCCTCTTTCCATCACCCCGCCCCATTCTCCCGCTTTCCTTCACCCCGCGCCATTTAACCTCTTTCCATCACCCGCCCCATTCTCCCGCTTTCCATCACCCGGCTCCATTGTCCCGCTTTCCATCACCCCGCCCAATTCTCCCTCTTTCCATCACCACTCCCTATTCTCCCTTTTTCCATCACCCCGCCCCATTCTCCCACTTTCCATCACCCCGCCCCATTCTCCCTCTTTCCATCACCCCGCCCCCATTCTCCCGCTTTCCATCACCTCGACCAATTCTCCCGCTTTCCATCACCCCGCCCCATTCTCCCTCTTTCCATCACCCTGCCCCATTCTCCCTCTATCCATCACCCCACCCAATTCTCCCGCTTTCCATCACCCCGTCCCATTCTCCCGCTTTCCATCACCCCGCCCCATTCTTTGCGTTCCATCACCCCACCCCATCCTCCCCTCTTTCCATCACCCCGCCCCATTCTCCCGATTTCTATCACCCCGCCCCATTCTCCCTCTTTCCATCACCCCGCCCCATTCTCCCGCTTTCCATCACCCCCGCCCCGTTCTCCCTCTTTCCATCACCCCGCCCCATTCTCCCTCTTTCCATCACCCCGCCCCATTCTCCCGCTTTCCATCACCCTGCCCCATTCTCCCTCTTTTCATAACCCCGCCCCATAATCCCGCTTTCCATCACCCCGCCCCATTCTCCCTCTTTCCATCACCCCGCCCCGTTCTCCCGCTTTCCATCACCCCGCCCCATTCTCCCGCTTTCCATCACCCGCCCCATTCTCCTGCTTTCCATCACCCCGCCCCATTCTCCCTCTTCCCATCACCCCGCCCTATTCTCTCGCTTTCCATCACCCCGCCCCATTCTCCCGCTTTTCATCACCCCGCCCCATTCTCTTGCTTTCCATCACCCCGTCCCATTCTCCCTCTTTCCATCACCCCGCCCCATTCTTCCTCTTTCCATCTCCCCGCCCCATTCTCCCTCTTTCCATCACCCCGCCCCATTCTCCCGCTTTCCATCACCCCGCCCCATTCTCCCACTTTCCATCACCCCGCCCCATTCTCCATCTCTACATCACCCCGCCCCACTCTCCCGCCTTCCATCACCCCGCCCCATTCTCCATCTTTCCATCACCCTGCCCAATTCTCCCGCCTTCCATCACCCCACCCCATTCTCCCATCTTCCATCACCCCGCCCCATTCTCCCTCTTTCCATCACCCCGCCCCATTCTCCCGCTTTCCATCACCCCGTCCCATTCTCCCTCTTTCCATCACCCCGCCCAATTCTCCCTCTTTCCATCACCCCGCCCCATTCTCCAGCTTTCCGTCACCCCGCCCCATTCTCCCTCTTTCCATCACCCTGCCCCATTCTCCCTCTTTCCATCACCCCGCCCCATTCTCCCTCTTTCCATCACCCCGCCCCATTCTCCCGCTTTCCTTCACCCCGCGCCATTTAACCTCTTTCCATCACCCGCCCCATTCTCCCGCTTTCCATCACCCGGCTCCATTGTCCCGCCTTTCCATCACCCGCCCAATTCTCCCTCTTTCTATCACCCCTTCCCATTCTCCCTCTTTCCATCACCACGCCCCATTCTCCTGCTTTTCCATCACCCCGCCCCCATTCTCCCTCTTTCCATCACCCCGCCCCATTCTCCCTCTTTCCATTACCCCGCCCCATTCTCCTGCTTTCCATCACCCCGCCCCATTCTCCCTCTTTCTATCACCCCGCCCCATTCTCCAGCTTTCCATCACCTCGCTCCATTCTCCCGCTTTCCATCACCGCGCCCAATTCTCCCGCTTTCCATCACCCCTCTCCATTCTCCCTCTTTCCATCTCCCCGCCCCATTCTCCTTCTTTCCATCAACCCGTCCCATTCTCCCTCTTTCCGTCACCCCACCCCATTCTCCTTGTTTCCATCACCTCGCCCCATTCTCCCTCTTTCCATCACCCCGCCCCATTCTTCCTGTTTCCATCACCTCGCCCCATTCTCTCGCTTTCCATCACCCCTCCCTATTCTCCCTCTTTCCATCACCCCGCCCAATTCTCCCGCTTTCCATCACCCCGCCCCATTCTCCTTCTTTCCATCACCCCGCCCCATTCTCCAGCTTTTATCACCCCGCCCATTCTCCTGATTTCCATCACCCCAGCCCATTCTCCCGCTTTCCATCAACCCGACCCATTCTCCCGCTTTCCATCACCCCACCCCGTTCTCCCGCTTTCCATCACACCGCCCCATTCTCCCTCTTTCCATCACCCCGCCCCATTCTCCTGCTTTCCATCACCGCGCCCCATTCTCCCGCTTTCCATCACCCCGCCCCGTTCTCCCCGCTTTCCATCACCCCGCCTCATTCTCCCTCTTTCCATCAACCCGCCCCATTCTCCCTATTTCCATCACCCCGCTCCATTCTCCCGCTTTCCATCAACCCGCCCGCTCCATTCTCCCGCTTTCCATCACCCCGCCCAATTCTCCCTCTTTCCATCACCCCTCTCCATTCTCCCTCTTTCCATCACCTCGCCCCATTCTCCCGCTTTCCATTACCCCGCCCCATTCTCCCTCTTTCCATCACCCGCCCCATTCTCCCGTCTTTCATCACCCCGCCCCATTCTCCCTCTTTCCATCACCCCGCCCAATTCTCCCACTTTCCATCACCCCGCCCCATTCTCCCACCTTTCATCACCCCGCCCCATTCTCCCTCTTTCCATCAACCTGCCCCATTCTCCCTCTTTCCATCACCCCGCCTTATTCTCCCTCTTTCCATCACCCCGCCCCATTCTCCCGATTTCCATCACCTCGCCCCATTCTCCCGCTTTCCATCACCCCCGCCCCGTTCTCCCCGCTTTCTGTCACCCCGCCTCATTCTCCCTCTTTCCATCAACCCGCCCCATTCTCCCTCTTTCCATCACCCCGCTCCATTCTCCCGCTTTCCATCACCCCGTCCGCTCCATTCTCCCGCTTTCCATCACCCCGCCCAATTCTCCCTCTTTCCATCACCCCTCCCCATTCTCCCTCTTTCCATCACCCCGCCCCATTCTCCCGCTTTCCATCACCCCGCCCCATTCTCCCGCTTTCCATCACCCGCCCTATTCTCCCATCTTTCATCACCCCGCCTTATTCTCCGTCTTTCCATCACCCCGCCCAATTCTCTCGCTTTCCATCACCCCGCCCAATTCTCCCGCTTTCCATCACCCCGCCCCATTCTCCCTCTTTCCATCAACCCGCCCCATTCCCCCTCTTTCCATCACCCCGCCTTATTCTCCCTCTTTCCATCATCCCGCTCCATTCTCCCGATTTCCAGCACCCCGCCCCATTCTCCCGCTTTCCATCACCCCGCCCCGTTCTCCCTCTATCCATCACCCCGCCCAAATCTCCCACTTTCCATCACCCCGTCCCATTCTCCTGTTTTCCATCACCCCGCCCCATTCTCTCGCTTTCTATCACCCCGCCTTATTCTCCCGCTTTCCATCACCCCGCACCATTCTCTCGCTTTCCATCACCCCGCCCCATTCTCACTATCTCCATCACCCCTCCCCATTCTCCCTCTTTCCATCACCCCGCCCCATTCTCATGCTTTCTATCACCCTGCCCCATTCTCCCTCTTTCCATCACCCCGCCCCATTCTCCCGCCTTCCATCACCCCGCCCCATTCTCCTTCCTTCCATCACCCTGGCCAATTCTCCCGCTTTCCATCACCGCGCCCCATTCTCCCGCCTTCCATCACCCCGCCCCATTCTCCCCTCTTTCCATCACCCCGCCCCCATTCTCCCGCTTTCCATCACCCCGCCCCATTCTCCAGCCCCATTCTCCCTCTTTCCATCACCCTGCCCCATTCTCTCGCTTTCCATCACCCCGCCCCATTTTCCCTCTTTCCATCACCCCGCCCCATTCTCCCGCTTTCCATCACCCCGCCCCATTCTCCCGCTTTCCATCACCCCGCTCCATTCTCCCGCTTTCCATCACCCCGCCCAATTCTCCCTCTTTCCATCACCCCGCCCCATTCTCCCGCTTTCCATCACCCCGCCCCATTCTCCCTCTATCCATCACCCCGCCCAATTCTCCCACTTTCCATCACCCCGTCCCATTCTCCTGTTTTCCATCACCCCGCCCCATTCTCTCGCTTTCTATCACCCCGCCTTATTCTCCCGCTTTCCATCACCCCGCACCATTCTCCCGCTTTCCATCACCCCGCCCCATTCTCACTATCTCCATCACCCCTCCCCATTCTCCCTCTTTCCATCACCCCGCCCCATTCTCATGCTTTCTATCACCCCGCCCCATTCTCCCTCTTTCCATCAACCCGCCCCATTCCCTCTCTTTCCATCACCCCGCCTTATTCTCCCTCTTTCCATCATCCCGCTCCATTCTCCCGATTTCCAGCACCCCGCCCCATTCTCCCGCTTTCCATCACCCCGCCCCGTTCTCCCTCTATCCATCATCCCGCCCAAATCTCCCACTTTCCATCACCCCGTCCCATTCTCCTGTTTTCCATCACCCCGCCCCATTCTCTCGCTTTCTATCACCCCGCCTTATTCTCCCGCTTTCCATCACCCCGCACCATTCTCTCGCTTTCCATCACCCCGCCCCATTCTCACTATCTCCATCTCCCCTCCCCATTCTCCCTCTTTCCATCACCCCGCCCCATTCTCATGCTTTCTATCGACCCGCCCCATTCTCCCTCTTTCCATCACCCCGCCCCATTCTCCCGCCTTCCATCACCCCGCCCCATTCTCCTTCCTTCCATCACCCTGGCCAATTCTCCCGCTTTCCATCACTGCGCCCCATTCTCCCGCCTTCCATCACCCCGCCCCATTCTCCCTCTTTCCATCACCCCGCACCATTCTCCCGCTTTCCATCACCCCGCCCCATTCTCCAGCCCCATTCTCCCTCTTTCCATCACCCCGCCCCATTCTCTCGCTTTCCATCACCCCGCCCCATTTTCCCTCTTTCCATCACCCCGCCCCATTCTCCCGCTTTCCATCAACCCGCCCCATTCTCCCGCTTTCCATCACCCCGCTCCATTCTCCCGCTTTCCATCACCCCACCCAATTCTCCCTCTTTCCATCACCCCACCCCATTCTCCCGATTTCCATCACCCCGCCCCATTCTCCCGCTTTCCATCACCCCGCCCCATTCTCCCTCTATCCATCACCCCGCCCAATTCTCCCACTTTCCATCACCCCGTCCCATTCTCCTGTTTTCCATCACCCCGCCCCATTCTCTCGCTTTCTATCACCCCGCCTTATTCTCCCGCTTTCCATCAGCCCGCACCATTCTCCCGCTTTCCATCACCCCGCCCCATTCTCACTATCTCCATCACCCTCCCCCATTCTCCCTCTTTCCATCACCCCGCCCCATTCTCATGCTTTCTATCACCCCGCCCCATTCTCACTCTTTCCATCACCCCGCCCCATTCTCCCACCTTCCATCACCCCACCCCATTCTCCTTCCTTCCATCACCCTGGCCAATTCTCCCGCTTTCCATCACCGCGCCCCATTCTCCCGCCTTCCATCACCCCGCCCCATTCTCCCTCTTTCCATCACCCCGCCCCATTCTCCCGCTTTCCATCACCCCGCCCCATTCTCCAGCCCCATTCTCCCTCATTCCATCACCCCGCCCCATTCTCTCGCTTTCCATCACCCCGCCCCATTTTCCCTCTTTCCATCACCCCGCCCCATTCTCCCGCTTTCCATCACCCCGCCCCATTCTCCCGCTTTCCATCACCCCGCTCCATTCTCCCGCTTTCCATCACCCCGCCCAATTCTCCCTCTTTCCATCACCCCACCCCATTCTCCCGATTTCCATCACCCCGCCCCATTCTCCCGCTTTCCATCACCCTGCCCCATTCTCCCTCTATCCATCACCCCGCCCAATTCTCCCACTTTCCATCACCCCGTCCCATTCTCCTGTTTTCCATCACCCCGCCCCATTCTCTCTATCTCCATCACCCCTCCCCATTCTCCCTCTTTCCATCACCCCGCCCCATTCTCATGCTTTCTATCACCCCACCCCATTCTCCCTCTTTCCATCACCCCGCCCCATTCTCCCACCTTCCATCACCCCGCCTAATTCTCCTTCCTTCCATCACCCTTGCCAATTCTCCCGCTTTCCATCACCGCGCCCCATTGTCCCGCCTTCCATCACCCCGCACCATTCTCCCTCTTTCCATCACCCCGCCCCATTCTCCCGCTTTCCATCACCTCGCCCCATTCTCCCGCCCCATTCTCCCTCTTTCCATCACCCCGCCCCATTCTCTCGCTTTCCATCACCCCGCCCCATTTTCCCTCTTTCCATCACCCCGCCCCATTCTCCCGCTTTCCATCACCCCGCCCCATTCTCCCGCTTTCCATCAGCCCGCTCCATTCTCCCGCTTTCCATCACCCCGCCCAATTCTCCCTCTTTCCATCACCCCACCCCATTCTCCCTCTTTCCATCACCCCGCCCCATTCTCCCGCTTTCCATCACCCTGCCCCATTCTCCCTCTTTCCATCACCCCGCCCTATCCTCTCTCTTTCCATCACCCCGCACCATTTTCCCGCTTTCCATCACCCCGCACCATTCTCCCTCTTTCCATCACCCCACCCCATTCTACTGCTTTCCATGACCCCGTCCAATTCTCCCGCTTTCCATCACCCCGCCCAATTTTCCCTCTTTCCATCATCCCGCCCCATTCTCCCTCTTTCATCACCCCGCCCCATTCTCCCCCAATCCATCACCCCGCCCCATTTTCTCTCTTTTCATCACCCCGTCCCATTCTTCCGCTTTCCATCACCCCGCCCCATTCTCCCGCCTTCCATCACCCCGCCCCATTCTCCATCTTTCCATCACCCTGCCCAATTCTCCCGCTTTCCATCACCCCGCCCCATCCTCCCGCCTTCCATCACCCCGCCCCATTCTCCCTCCTTCCGTCACCCCGCCCCATTCTCCCGCTTTCCATCACCTCGCCCCATTCTCCCGCTTTCCATCAACCCGCCCCATTCTCCCTCTTTCCATCACCCCGCCCCATTCTCCCGCTTTCCATCACCTCGCCCCATTCTCCCGCTTTCCATCACCCCGCCCCATTCTCCCGCTTTCCATCACCCCGCCCCATTCTCCCTCTTTCCATCACCCCGCCCCATTCTCCCCCTTTCCATCACCCCGCCCCATTCTCCCTCTTTCCATCACCCTTCCCCATTCTCCCTCTATCGATCACCCCACCCAATTCTCCCGCTTTCCATCACCCCGTCCCATTCTCCCGCTTTCCATCACCTCGCCCCATTCTTTTGCGTTCCATCACCCCACCCCATCCTCCCCTCTTTCCATCATCCCGCCCCATTCTCCCAATTTCTATCACCCCGCCCCATTCTCCCTCTTTCCATCACCCCGCCCCATTCTCCCGCTTTCCATCACCCCGCCCCATTCTAGCTCTTTCAATCACCCCGCCCCATTCTCTCGCTTTCCATCACCCCGCCCCGTTCTCCCGCTTTCCATCACCCCGCCCCATTTTCCCGCCTTCCATCACCCCGCCCCATTCTCCTGCTTTCCATCACCCCGCCCCATTCTCCCTCATTCCATCACCCCGCCCCATTCTCTCGTTTTCCATCACCCCGCCCCATTCTCCCGCTTCTCATCACCCTGCCCCATTCTCCCGCTTTCCATCACCCCGTCCCATTCTCCCTCTTTCCATCACCCCGCTCCATTCTCCCGCTTTCCATCACCCCTCCCTATTCTCCCTCTTTCCATCACCCCGCCCTATTCTCCCGCTTTCCATCACCCCGCCCCATTCTCCCGCTTTCCATCACCCCGCCCCATTCTCCCGCTTTCCATCACCCCGCCCCATTCTCCCGCTTTCCATCACCCCGCCCCATTCTCCCTCTTTCCATCACACCGCCCCGTTCTCCCGCTTTCCATCACCCCGCTCCGTTCTCCCGCTTTCCATCACCCTGACCCATTCTCCCCCTTTCCATCAACCCGCCACATTCTCCCGCTTTCCATCACCGCGCCCCATTCTCCCTCTTTCCATCACCCCGCCCCGTTCTCCCGCTTACCATCACCCCGCCCCATTCTCCCGCTTTCCATCACCCCGCCCCATTCTCCCTCTTTCCATCACACCGCCCCATTCTCCCTGTTTCCATCACCCCGCCCCATTCTCCCGATTTCCATCACCCCTCCCCATTCTCCCGCTTTCCATCACCCCGCCCCATTCTCCCGCTTTCCATCACTCCACCCCATTCTCCCGCTTTCCATCACCCCGCCCCATTCTCCCGCTTTCCATCACCCTGCCCCATTCTCCCGCTTCCCATCACCCGGGCCCATTCTCCCGCTTTCCATCACCCCGCCCCATTCTCCCGCTTTCCATCACCCCGACCCATTCTCCCTCCTTCCATCACCCCGCCTCATTCTCCCGCTTTCCATCACCCCGCCCCATTCTCCCGCTTTCCATAACCCCGCCGCATTCTCCCACTTTCCATCACCCAGCCACATTCTCCCACTTTCCATCAGCCCGCCCCATTCTCCCTCCTTCCTTTGCCCTGCCCCATTCTCCCTCCTTCCATCATCCCGCCCCATTCTCCCTCCTTCCATCACCTCGCCCCATTTTCCCGCTTTCTATTTGCCCGCCCCATTCCACCGCTTTCCATCACCCCGCCCCATTCTCCAGCTTTCCATAACCCGCCCCATTCTCCCGCTTTCCATCACCCCGCCCCATTCTCCCGCTTTCCATCACCCCACCCCATTCTCCCGCTTTCCATCACCCCACCCCATATTCCCGCTTTCCATCCCTGCCCCATTCTCCAGCTTTCCATCAGCCGCCCCATTCTCCCGCTTTCCATCACCCCGCCTTATTCTCCAGCTCTCCATCACCCCGCACCATTCGCCCGCTTTCCATCACCCCTCCCCATTCTCCTGCTTTCCATCACCCCGCCCCATTCTCCCTCCTTCCATGACCCCGCCCCATTCTCCCTCCATCCATCACCCCGCCCTATTCTCCCAATTTCCATCACCCCACCCCATTCTCCCGCTTTCCATCACCCCGCCTTATTCTCCCGCTTTCCATCACCTCGCCCCATTCTCCCGCTTTCCATCACCCCGCCCCATTCTCCGCTTTCCATCACACGCCCATTCTCCCGCTTTCCATCACCCCGCACCATTCTCCCGCTTTTCATTACCCCGCCCCATTTTCCTGCTTCCCATCATCTCGCCCCATTCTCCCGCTTTCCATCACCCTGCCCCATTCTCCCTCCTTCCATCACCCCACCCCATTCTCCCGCTTTCCATCACCTCGCCCGATTCTCTCGCTTTCCATCACCCCGCCCCATTCTCCCGCTTTCCATCACCCCGCCCCATTCTCCTGCTTTCCATCACCCGCCCCATTCTCCCGCTTTCCATCACCCCACCCCAGTCTCCCGCTTTCCATCACCCCGCCCTATTCTCCCCCTTTCCATCACCCCGCCCCAATCTCCCGCTTTCCATCACCCCACCCCATTCTCCCGCTTTCCATCACCCCGCCCCATTCTCCCGCTTTCCTTCACCCCTCCCCATTCTCCCACTTTCCATCACCCCGCCCCATTCTCCCGCTTTCAATCACCCCACCCCATTCTCCCGCTTTCCATCACTCCGCCCCATTCTCCCTCCTTCTATCACCCCGCCCCATTCTCCCGCTTTCCATCACCCCGACCCATTCTCCCACTTTCCATCACCCCGCCCCATTCTCCTGCTTTCCATCATCCAGCCCCATTCCCCCGCTTTCCATCACCCCGCCCTATTCTCCCTCTTTCCATCACCCCGCCCCATTCTCCCTCCTTCCATCACCCCGCCCCATTCTACCGCTTTCCATCACCCCGCCACATTCTTCCACTTTCCATCACCCCGCCCCATTCTCCCTCCTTCCATCACCCCGCCCCATTCCCCCGCTTTCCATCACCCCGCCCCATTCTCCCGCATTCCATCACCCCGCCCCATTCTCCCTCCTTCCATCACCCCGCCCCATTCTCCCGCTTTCCATCACCCCACCCCATTCTTCCGCATTCCATCACCCCGCCCCATTCTCCCGGTTTCCATCACCCCCGCCCCCTTCTCCCTCCTTCCATCATCCTGCCCCATTCTCCCTCCTTCCATCACCCCGCCCCTTTCTCCCGCTTTCCATCAGCCCGCCCCATTCTCCCGCTTTCCATCACCCCGCCCCATTCTCCCGCGTTCCATCTCCCCGCCCCATTCTCCCGGTCTCCATAACCCCGCCCCCTTCTCCCTCCTTCCATCACCCCGCCCCATTCTCCCTCCTTCCATCATCCCGCCCCTTTCTCCCGCTTTCCATCAGCCCGCCCCATTCTCCCGCTTTCCATCACCCAGCCCCATTCTCCCGCTCTCCATCACCCCGCCCCGTTCTCCCGCTTTCCATAACCCCGCCCCATTCTCACGCTTTCCATCACCCCGCCCCATTCACCCGCTTTCCATCACCCCGCCCCATTCCGCTCCATTCCGTCACCCCGCCCCATTCTCCCGCTTTCCATCACCTCGCCCCATTCTCACGCTCTCCATCACCCCGCCCCATTCACCCGCTTTCCATCACCCCGCCCCATTCTCACGCTTTCCATCACCCCACCCCACTCCCGCTTTCCATCACCCCGCCCCATTCTCCCGCTTTCCATCACCCCGCCCCATTCTCCCGCTTTCCATCACCTTGCCCCATTCTCACGCTTTCCATCACCCCGCCCCATTCTCCCGCTTTCTATCACCCCGCCCCATTCTCCTCCCTTCCATCACCCCGCCTCATTCTCCCTCCTTCCATCACCCCGCCCCGTTCTCCCGCTTTCCATCACCCCGCCCCATTCTCCCGCTTCCCATCAACCCGCCCCATTCTCCCACTTTCCATCACCCCGCCCCATTCTCCCGCATTCCATCACCCTGCCCCATTCTCCCGCTTTCCATAACCCCGCCCCATTCTCCTGCTTTCCATCACCCCGCCATATTCTCCCACTTTCCATCACCCCTCCCCATTCTCCCTCCTTCCATCACACGCCCCATTCTCCCTCCTTCCATCACCCACCCCATTCTCCCTCCTTCCATCACCCCGCCCCATTCTCCCGCTTTCCATCACCACGCCTCATTCTCCCGCTTTCCATCACCCCGCCCCATACTCCCGCTTTCCATCACCCCGCCCCATTCTCCCGCTTTCCATCACCCCGCCCCATTCTCCCGCTTTCCATCACCCCGCCCCAATCTCCCTCCTTCCATCACCCGCCCCATTCTCCCTCCTTCCATCACCCACCCCATTCTCCCTCCTTCCATCACCCCGCCCCATTCTCCCGCTTTCCATCACCACGCCTCATTCTCCCGCTTTCCATCACCCCGCCCCATACTCCCGCTTTCCATCACCCCGCCCCATTCTCCCGCATTCCATCACCCCGCCCCATTCTCCCTCCTTCCATCACCCCGCCCCATTCTCCCGCTTTCCATCACCCCACCCCATTCTTCCGCATTCCATCACCCCGCCCCATTCTCCCGCTTTCCATCACCTCGCCCCATTCTCCCGCATTCCATCATCCTGCCCCATTCTCCCTCCTTCCATCACCCCGCCCCTTTCTCCCGCTTTCCATCAGCCCGCCCCATTCTCCCGCTTTCCATCACCCCGCCCCATTCTCCCGCGTTCCATCTCCCCGCCCCATTCTCCCGGTCTCCATAACCCCGCCCCCTTCTCCCTCCTTCCATCACCCCGCCCCATTCTCCCTCCTTCCATCATCCCGCCCCTTTCTCCCGCTTTCCATCAGCCCGCCCCATTCTCCCGCTTTCCATCACCCAGCCCCATTCTCCCGCTCTCCATCACCCCGCCCCGTTCTCCCGCTTTCCATAACCCCGCCCCATTCTCACGCTTTCCATCACCCCGCCCCATTCACCCGCTTTCCATCACCCCGCCCCATTCCGCTCCTTTCCTTCACCCCGCCCCATTCTCCCGCTTTCCATCACCTCGGCCCATTCTCACGCTCTCCATCACCCCGCCCCATTCACCCGCTTTCCATCACCCCGCCCCATTCTCACGCTTTCCATCACCCCACCCCACTCCCGCTTTCCATCACCCCGCCCCATTCTCCCGCTTTCCATCACCCCGCCCCATTCTCCCGCTTTCCATCACCTTGCCCCATTCTCACGCTTTCCATCACCCCGCCCCATTCTCCCGCTTTCCATCACCCCGCCCCATTCTCCCTCCTTCCATCACCCCGCCTCATTCTCCCTCCTTCCATCACCCCGCCCCGTTCTCCCGCTTTCCATCACCCCGCCCCATTCTCCCGCTTCCCATCACCCCGCCCCATTCTCCCGCTTTCCATCACCCCGCCCCATTCTCCCGCATTCCATCACCCTGCCCCATTCTCCCGCTTTCCATAACCCCGCCCCATTCTCCTGCTTTCCATCACCCCGCCATATTCTACCACTTTCCATCACCCCGCCCCATTCTCCCTCCTTCCATCACCCGCCCCATTCTCCCTCCTTCCATCACCCACCCCATTCTCCCTCCTTCCATCACCCCGCCCCATTCTCCCGCTTTCCATCACCACGCCTCATTCTCCCGCTTTCGATCACCCCGCCCCATACTCCCGCTTTCCATCACTCCGCCCCATTCTCCCGCTTTCCATCACCCCGCCCCATTCTCCCGCTTTCCATCACCCCGCCCCAATCTCCCTCCTTCCATCACCCCGCCCCATTCTCCCGCTTTCCATGAGCCCGCCCCATTCTCCCTCCTTCCATCACCTCGGGCCATTCTCCTTCCTTCCATCACCCTGCCCCATTCTCCCGCTTTCCATCACCCCGCCCCATTTTCCCGTTTTCCATCACCCCGCCCCATTCTCCTGCTTTCCATCACCCCGCCCGATTCTCCTGCTTTCCACCACCCCGCCCCATTCTCCCGCTTTCCATCACCCCGCCCCATTCTCCCGCTTTCCATCACCCCACCCCATTCTCCCACCTTCTATCACCCCGCCCCATTCTCCCTCCTTCCATCACCTCGCCCCATTCTCCCGCTTTCCATTACTCCGCCCCATTCTCCTGCTTTCCATCACCCCGCCCCATTCTCCCGCTTTCCATCACCCCGCCCCATTCCCCCGCTTTCCATCACCCCGCCCCATTCTCCCGCTTTTCATCACCCCGCCCCGTTCTCCCGCTTTCCATCACCCCGCCCCATTCTCCCGCTTTCCATCACCCCGCCCCATTCTCCCTCTTTCCATCACCCCGCCCCATTCTCCCTCCTTCCATCACCCCGCCCCATTCTCCGCTTCCCATAACCCCAGCCCCATCTCCCGCTTTCCATCACCCCGCCACTTTCTCCCACTTCATCCCGCCCCATTCTCCCTCCTTCCATCACCCCGCCCCTTTCTCCCTCCTTCCATCACCCCGCCCCATTCTCCCGCTTTCCATCAGCCCGCCCCATTCTCCCGCTTTCCATCAGCACGCCCCATTCTCCCGCTTTCCATCACCCCGCCCCATTCTCCCGCTTTCCATCAACCTGCCCCCTTCTCCCGCTTTCCATCACCCCGCCCCATTCTCCCGCTTTCCATCACCCCACCCCATTTTCCCATTTTCCATCACCTCGCCCCATTCTCCTTCCTTCCATCACCCCGCCCCAATCTCCCTCCTTCCATCACCCCATCCCATTCTCCCGCTTTCCATCTCCCCGCCCCATTCTTCCGCTTCCCATCATCCCGCCCCATTCCCCCGCTTTCTATCACCCCTCCTTCCATCACCCTGCCCCATTCTCCCGCTTTCCATCACCCTGAAATTTTGCACACGCTAGGCCCTTTTTCTTGCAATTTTGCACATGCTAGGCCCTTGTTCCTGAAATTTTGCACACGCTAGGCCCTTGTTCTTGCAAGTTTGCACAGACTAGGCCCTTGTTCTTGCAATTTTGCACACGCTAGGTCCTTGTTCTTGCTATTTTGCACACGCTAGGCCCTTGTTCTTGCTATTTTGCACACGCTAGACCCTTGTTCTTGCTATTTTGCACACGCTAGGCCCTTGTTCTTGCAATTTTGCACACGCTAGGCCCTTGTTCTTGCTATTTTGCACACGCTAGGCCCTTGTTCTTGCTATCTTGCACACGCTAGCCCCTTGTTCTTGCAATTTTGCACACGCTAGGCCCCTGTTCTTGCTATTTTGCACACGCTAGCCCCTTGTTCTTGCAATTTTGCACACACTAGGCCCTTGTTCCTGAAATTTTGCACACGCTAGGCCCTTGTTCTTGCAATTTTGCACATGCTAGGCCCTTGTTCTTGCAATTTTGCACACGCTAGGCCCTTGTTCTTGCAATTTTGCACACGCTAGGCCCTTGTTCTTGCTATTGTGCACATGCTAGGCCCTTGTTCTTGCAATTTTGCAAATGCTAGGCCCTTGTTCTTGCAATTTTGCACACGCTAGGCCCTTGTTCTTGCTATTTTGCACACGCTAGACCCTTGTTTTTGCAATTTTGCACACGCTAGGCCCTTGTTCTTGCTATTTTGCACACGCTAGACCCTTTTTCTTGCAATTTTGCACACGCTAGGCCCTTGTTCTTGCTATTTTGCACACGCTAGACCCTTGCTCTTGCAATTTTGCACACGCTAGGCCCTTGTTCTTGCAATCTTGCACAAGCTAGGCCCTTGTTCATGAAATTTTGCACACAATAGACCCTTGATCTTGCAATTTTGCACACGCTAGGCCCTTGTTCTTGCTATTTTGCACACAATAGACCCTTGTTCTTGCAATTTTGCACACGCTAGACCCTTGTTCTTGCAATATTGCACACGCTATGCCCTTGTTCTTGCTATTTTGCACACGCTAGACCCTTGTTCTTGCAATTTTGCATACGCTAGGCCCTTGTTCTTGCAATTTTGCACACGCTAGGCCCTTGTTCTTGCTATTTTGCACACGCTAGACCCTTATTCTTGCTATTTTGCACACGCTAGGCCCGTGTTCTTGCTATTTTGCACACGCTAGCCCCTTTTTCTTGCTATTTCGCACACACTAGGCCCTTGTTCTTGCAATTTTGCACACGCTAGGCCCTTGTTCCTGAAATTTTGCACACGCTAGGCCCTTGTTCTTGCAATTTTGCAAATGCTAGGCCCTGTTCTTGCAATTTTGCACACGCTAGGCCATTGTTCTTGCTATTTTGCATAAGCTAGACCCTTGTTCTTGCAATTTTGCACACGCTAGGCCCTTGTTCTTGCTATTTTGCACACGCTAGACCCTTGTTGTTGCAATTTTGCACACGCTAGACCCTTGTTCTTGCAATTTTGCACACGCTAGACCCTTGTTCTTGCAATTTTGCACACGCTAGGCCCTTGTTCTTGCAATTTTGCACACGCTAGGCCCTTGTTCTTGCAATTTTGCACACGCTAGGCCCGTGTTCTTGCAATTTTGCATACGCTAGGCCCTTGTTCTTGCAATTTTGCACACGCTAGGCCCTTGTTCTTGGAATTTTGCACATACTAGGCCCTTGTTCTTGCTATTTTGCACACGCTAGGCCCTTGTTCTTGCAATTTTGCACACGCTAGGCCCTTGTTCTTGCTATTTTGCACACGCTAGGCCCTTGTTCTTGCAATTTTGCAAACGCTAGGCCCTTGTTCTTGCTATGTTGCACACAATAGACCCTTGTTCTTGCAATGTTGCACACGCTATGCCCTTGATCTTGCAATTTTGCACACGCTAGGCCCTTGTTCTTGCTATTTTGCACACGCTAGACCCTTGTTCTTGCTATTTTGCACAAGCTAGGCCCTTGTTCTTGCAATGTTGCACACGCTAGGCATTTGTTCTTGCTATTTTGCACACGCTAGGCCCCTGTTCTTGCTATTTTGCACACGCTAGCCCCTGTTCTTGCTATTTTGCACACGCTAGCCCCTTTTTGTTGCAATTTTGCACACACTAGGCCCTTGTTCCTGAAATTTTGCACACGCTAGGCCCTTGTTCTTGCAATTTTGCACAGGCTAGGCCCTTGTTCTTGCTATTTTGCACACGCTAGGCCCCTGTTCTTGCAATTTTGCACACGCTAGGCCCTTGTTCTTGCTATTTTGCACACGCTAGCCCCTTTTTCTTGCTATTTTTCACACACTAGGCCCTTGTTTTTGCAATTTTGCACATGCTAGGCCCTTGTTCCTGAAATTTTGCAAACGCTAGGCCCTTGTTCTTGCAATTTTGCACATACTAGGCCCTTGTTCTTGCAATTTTGCACACGCTAGGCCCTTGTTCTTGCTATTTTGCACACGCTAGGCCCTTGTTCTTGCAATTTTGCACACGCTAGGCCCTTGTTCTTGCAATTTTGCACACGCTAGGCCCTTGTTCTTGCTATGTTGCACACAATAGACCCTTGTTCTTGCAATGTTGCACACGCTATGCCCTTGATCTTGCAATTTTGCACACGCTAGGCCGTTGTTCTTGCTATTTTGCACACGCTAGACCCTTGTTCTTGCTATTTTGCACAAGCTAGGCCCTTGTTCTTGCAATGTTGCACACGCTAGGCATTTGTTCTTGCTATTTTGCACACGCTAGGCCCCTGTTCTTGCTATTTTGCACACGCTAGCCCCTGTTCTTGCTATTTTGCACACGCTAGCCCCTTTTTGTTGCAATTTTGCACACACTAGGCCCTTGTTCCTGAAATTTTGCACACGCTAGGCCCTTGTTCTTGCAATTTTGCACAGGCTAGGCCCTTGTTCTTGCAATTTTGCACAGGCTACGCCCTTGTTCTTGCAATTTTGCACACGCTAGGCCCTTGTTCTTGCTATTTTGCATATGCTAGACCCTTGTTCTTGCAATTTTGCAAATGCTAGGCCCTTGTTCTTGCAATTTTGCACACGCTAGGCCCTTGTTCTTGCAATTTTGCACACGCTAGGCCCTTGTTCTTGCTATTTTGCACACGCTAGACCCTTGTTCTTGCAATTTTGCACACGCAAGGCCCTTGTTCTTGCAATTTTGCACACGCTAGACCCTTGTCCTTGCAGTTTTGCACACGCTAGGCCCTTGTTCTTGCTATTTTGCACACGTTAGACCCTTGTTTTTGCAATTTTGCACACGCTAGGCCCTTGTTCTTGCTATTTTGCACACGCTAGACCCTTTTTCTTGCAATTTTGCACACGCTAGGCCCTTGTTCTTGCTATTTTGCACACGCTAGACCCTTGTTTTTGCAATTTTGCACAAGCTAGGCCCTTGTTCTTGAAATTTTGCACACGCTAGTCCCTTGTTCTTGCAAATTTGCACACGCTAGGCCCTTGTTCTTGCTATTTTGCACACAATAGACCCTTGTTCTTGCAATTTTGCAGACGCTATGCCCTTGTTCTTGCAATATTGCACACGCTATGCCCTTGTTATTGCTATTTTGCACACGCTAGACCCTTGTTCTTGCAATTTTGCACACGCTAGGCCCTTGTTCTTGCAATTTTGCACACGCTAGGCCCTTGTTGTTGCTATTTTGCACACGCTAGACCCTTGTTCTTGCAATTTTGCACACGCTAGGCCCGTGTTCTTGCTATTTTGCACACGCTAGCCCCTTTTTCTTGCTATTTTGCACAAACTAGGCCCTTGTTCTTGCAATTTTGCACACACTAGGCCCTTGTTCCTGAAGTTTTGCACACGCTAGGCCCTTGTTCTTGCAATTTTGCACACGCTAGGCCCTTGTTTATGGAATTTTGCACTCGTTAGGCCTTTGTTCTTGCAATTTTGCACACGCTAGGCCCTTGCTCTTGCAATTTTGCACACGCAAGGCCCTTGTTCTTGCAATTTTGCACACGCTAGACCCTTGTCCTTGCAGTTTTGCACACGCTAGGCCCTTGTTCTTGCTGTTTTGCACACGTTAGACCCTTGTTTTTGCAATTTTGCGCACGCTAGGCCCTTGTTCTTGCTATTTTGCACACGCTAGACCCTTTTTCTTGCAATTTTGCACACGCTAGGCCCTTGTTCTTGCTATTTTGCACACGCTAGCCCCTTGTTCTTGCTATTTTGCACACGCTAGGCCCTTGTTCTTGCTATTTTGCATATGCTAGACCCTTGTTCTTGCAATTTTGCAAATGCTAGGCCCTTGTTCTTGCAATTTTGCACACGCTAGGCCCTTGTTCTTGCAATTTTGCACACGCTAGACCCTTGTTCTTGCAATTTAGCACACGCTAGGCCCTTGTTCTTGCAATTTTGCACACGCTAGGCCCTTGTTCTTGCAATTTTGCACACGCTAGGCCCTTGTTCTTGCAATTTTGCACACGCTAGGCCCTTGTTCTTGCTATTTTGCACATGCTAGGCCCTTGTTCTTGCTATTTTGCACACGCTA